AAACCGCCTATTTGCATACCAGCTACTATAGTAAAGTATCAAAATGCAATAAATGCTAGGTAGAAAATCCACTGAATTTTGTGTCTTCTGTTTATGGTATATTTTCTCTATTACTAACATTCTCTGTAAGGTAGAAGGTTGGAAATAAAATTCTATTGGTCTGTCACCATCCCTTTAAGCAATAGCAATTGTGCCTTCTTAAAGCATATCTAAGCCCAAAACCAGACATTGTATATATTGCAGCTTCTCAGTCTCTAGATGTTTTGGCTGCATTACTTTTAATTTGTCATGCTTTTTTCTTTTCTTGTTACCTGGTAATCCTGCAAATAACACACTCACTTCTCCACTGTAGCTATGGAAGGAGCCATGGTTTCCACCCAGGCTGGACTTCAAGCATAAAGAATTTACACTCCATATTGCTTCAAGTGGGGTCATTTGAAGTGATGATATTCCCTCAGTTCCAAAGCATATGCTCCAGTAATCATAAAAGCAAGAACATCCAGTAGTACATATGCAGATAGGCCAATCTGAAGCAACCAAAAAAGTAAGAAAACAGAGTGCACCAGCCTTGTGAAGCACATAAATCTAGTTTATTAAGTAAAATCAGATATCCAGACTCACAAACAAATGAGCAGTTTCTAAAATATAGAAGCTAATTCTGTCACTAGGCAAATAAAACATCAGGCACACCTTCAGCAACTATGTGACAAATGGTATAATTGCTGATGCGCTTCCATGGTCCCACCCCCTTTCCTCAGAACCACTACAGGCCTGCCTGGGGGTCTCTTTACCTGTTAATAGAATTAGACTTTATATGTTGCACACTGCACATTTATTTGGGACTATGGATACCTTAATTTTACTTAATAAATTGGATTTATGTTCTTTACAAGGCCAGTGTGCTTTTTTTTTTTTTTTTTTTTTTTTTTTTTTGTTGCTCCACATTGGTCCATCTGTACATAAGATAATGGGCATTCTTGCTTTTTATGTTTATGGAGCATATGATTTACAGAGAAGGGAATATCATCACTTCACATGACCCCACTTGAAGTATGTCTGCCTTTGTTCATCTTCATTACATAGGATTATAGGTCATAGCATTAGCAGTTTACACAAGAAAGATAACATTGTTTTGAATTTTAAGTTAAAGGAGAACTATGGGGTTAAGGCTTTTCCCCCAAGTTCTCCTTAGTGTAACAGGAGGACACAAACTAGCGTCCTCCTGTCACCCTAAGCTCAGTATATACTACTGCTCACGGAATACTGAGACGACGCAGCTGAAGCGGATCCCGACAATTATGTCTGAATCTGCCCAGCTGTGTGAGTGACAGCTGGCTCTGCCTATCTAAAGGCAGAGCCAGCTGTACCCGCCTCCTCCCCGTTTGATCCGCCAGCCAGCGCTGGCGGTTCGGAGCGGGGAGGGGGGAATCCAGCCCCTCCCCTGTCACGGCAGAGAGCTGTGACAGGATCGCGAGGTGAGCGAACGCCGGTATGTTTTCGCTCACCTCCCGATCTACTAAGCCGACCTGTGACAGTCTCATTGTCATAGGTGGGCTAGAACTATGAGGTGAGTGAAAAGCACTCACCTCATAGTTCTCCTTTAAGCTTTCAGGAAGTGACAAGGACACTGCATTTCCTGCAAAATCAACATGTATTTTCTGTATTTGCTAAGAAATACTAGCATGAAAAATGAAAAGTAATGCAGTCACCACATCTAAGGGCTGCTAAGCTGCAATATATGACATTTTTGTTCTTGGGTTTGGTTACCCTTTAATTTAGAAAAACAATTTTAATGAAGAAGTACACATACAGCTGTTCACAATAATATTGATGTTTTTCCTCCTAGATGACCACAACAGAATCATTCTGAAAGCGGAGAACAGCCACGATCATTCGGACTACATCAATGCCAGTCCCATAGTGAGTATTTGGCTGCTTTCTGTTTTCATCTTTCTGCTTCGTTAGACTCTGGTTTACATCCTAAGTGCCTATCGGCAAGTCCTCTTTGCCTCATGTTACTGCATTACTAATGGATGCAATTATGAGTTACAGAGCAAATGGTTGATGCTGGTTGCCATGGTTACAGATGAGTAGCGATAGCTATGTTGATGGGATTACATGACTGGGTTGCCTCTGGCCTGTAGAAACCTGTAGTTAATTTTTTCATGTGTCTAAAATTGAAATGGATTGTTACATTGAGGAAAGTTTCCACAAGTCAACTTACTTTCACAAATTAATTGTGTTATCAAGTTTATGATTATTCTGTTATTCAATAGTTACATAGTTACATAGTATTTGAGGTTGAATAAAGACATTAGTCCATCAAGTCCAACCTATTAGGATCTCATTCTAGGAGTACCTGTACCCCTGTATATTACCTGTACCCCTGTATATTACCTGTACCCCTGTATATTACGGTCCCTTAAGAAATCGTCCAAAAGTTTCTTGAACAATTCCACATTCTTTGCTGAAATCACTGTCTGTGGCAGTGAGTTCCAGACCCTAACTGATCTTACTGTGAAGACCCCCCTTCGCCCCTTGTGCTGGAATTTTTTTTCCACCAATTTTAGGTGGTGGCCTCTAGTTTTTGTAATGGAGTTAATTTTAAACAGTTTATCGCTAATGTTGCTGCCACCATTGAACATTTTGTACATGGAGATCATATCCCCCCTTAATCTCCTCACCTCCAATGTGAACATTGCAATACTTACTTTAAATTTGGTAGTTGTGTTATATTGTAATTTTGACAGCTTTTAAGGTGCACCTAGATGAAGTCAACTGCCCTGGATCTAAAGGTTGGAGTTCTATTTTGCAGTTGGGTGCTCAAACTACATTCTGTACAGACTAAAAACATATTCAGTTGCCTTAGTCCTTTTATTATTCTGTTATTTGTCTGAGCCTCTAGTAGAAGGCTGCCAACCATGCAGATATGTGTGGACTGTGGTTAAAAAATGGAGGCTAGAGAAAACTACAAGTCAAAACTATCAACAGATCTATTATAGCCTGGCTAGTCCACATCAAGCTCACAAGCCGATCCTACTGATCAAAGGCCCCTCATCTCATTAAAGGACCAATTGAGTAGAAGAAGGGAAGAATTTGGCTTTTACAGCAAATTTAAGGATACCCTGTCACTAACTTGAAAAATTGCAGATAAAATCAATTAACTAAAATGCTTACTTGCTGCATTTTTCTTTTCTATGTATAATTTTTTCACTTGCAATGTGCCTCTAAGCCTGCTTGGGAAATCATCCACTCCTAGAAGAGTCAATTCACTATCACAGCCAGAGTTCCCCCTTTCTCATGTTTCAGCAGCCTACATAGATTCCGACAATTGTTTACACAGGCTAATTTCCCACATTAAATTGTGAAAATGCATAAAGTTCAGGTTGGATATTTTCTATACATGTTATGGCACATGATTTTAGTGCAGCACAGTGTGTGTTCTGCTGTTTCCTTTTTGCATATTCTTGTTGGAAAAGAAGATAAAAAATAATCTCTGCCTGCTGGACATATTGTATATGCTATACTTTGTTAACCAGCAGTAAAGCACATCACATGTAAATTTTACTGTTTTACCATACATTTCTATGGGCCCCAAAAGACATGATTTTTGCAGAGGTTTTTCATACCATACTGCACTGCAGCACATAGATATGAATTGGACTGATTGACTTGCATGACAATTCTATGTTTTCTGACAGTGTTATATTTATGGGAATGGCTTAGATGTGAGCACAGCCTGAAGATAACCTCTGCTTTTTCATGATATGCTCAGTGGTTTGTCATTTCTTCCCCTGAAATAGCAGCCTATCCTAATGTTCTAATTTAATGCATTCTTAAAGGTTCATATATTTGTTGCCCCTCAAACTGGAGAGTTGTCTATTTGTAACTTGGCTCTCTACACTTCTGGGTGATGCCCACCGGTTCTTGTATTGCTCCTGTCTCATAAAATGGTTAGGCCTCAATGCTTAAAGGAGAACTATGAGGTGAGTACTTTTCACTCACCTCATAGTTCTAGCCGACCTGTGACAATGAGACTGTCACAGGTCGGCTCAGTAGATCGGGAGGTGAGCGAACACATACCGGCGTTCGCTCACCTCTCGATCCTGTCACGCCTCTCTGCCATGACAGGGGAGGGGCTGGATTCCCTCTCCGATCCACCAGCGCTGACTGGATAATTGTCGGGATCCGCTTCAGCTGCGGTGTCTCAGTATACCGCGAGCAGCAGCTCGCGGTATACTGCGGCGCCTCCGTATACCGCGAGCTACCGTGAGCTACAGCTCGCGGTATACTGAGCCTAGGGTGACGGGAGGACGCTAGTTTGTGTCCTCCTGTTACCCTAAGGAGAACTATGGGGAAAGCCTTAACCCCATAGTTCTCCTTTAATATTATTGCTAAAAGTTACTAACATGGTATCATAAATGAAATACACACAAAACATACAGCCATTGTGGACCATCTATTGTTGTCTTGGTATTGTGCAAATACTAAAGCATACCTAAAGCCAAAATTTAGTTTTTTTTCTTGTGGATAGAGTAGAGAATGGTTAAACCCCTGTGTCCCATTGGAGAGATCTCCCTTCACTTTCCCATAGACATAACAGTAGGGGAGAGTGAGGGAAATCCCCACAGATTGTCACTGAAAAAAATCATCCCCATTAGAAGATTTCCTCTCTTTTCCTGGTGGCTACTCAAAACTGTGGATTTTTCCTCACTTTCTATCACTGTGAAAATGGTCACCACAACAGATAGGGTGGGCGAATCTCCCCAGAGAGGACACAGAGAGCAATAAAAACCTATCAGAGGTCTCACTTTATTCAAAGCTAAAAAAAACAAAAATCACCTATCCAAAAAGCATTACATCTGTTGAACATCTGAAAGGCCAACAAATGGATTTATTGTACATTTTTAAGATATTAAGACCATTAAAACAAGTCCTGTTGTAACTGCAGCCTCTTGGTATGTGATTCTGTGCTGTGCAGTCTCCATCAAAACAAAACTACTAATGTTAGTGTGCAGGATCAGGGAACTCTTGGTTTCTGTTTTTGTAGCTTTGGAGCCTCAGCCAATCAGAAAATGAGGCTTCCAGCAATGATAGGGATCAATGAGCCTAGCAACTAGCTGCAAATAAAGAATGCCAGAACATGAAAGCTACATTTCAGAGGGTTGCATGTGCCTTCTAAGAAAGCGAAGATGCACAATTTTTCTGTTTGACTGGAGAGTATGTTTAAAGTTGAAACATACCAAATTACCATACTGTAGAAGACAGATATATAGATCAGTCCTGTCATTAAACCAACTCTCCCAAGGTCAAAGAGTCAGTAAATAAACCTCTTTCAGATCTCAGACCACCCGCAGTTTTTAATCCCAAATTAACTTTCCATTGCACTAGAAGACATCTGTTACTTTGAAGTTACAAAGAACTTAATACAATGGCTCTACTAGTTTAGGGGATTGTCACCAAATCAGGCCATAAATATGGTGATCACATCAAACAGCTTCTGAAATATAAAGCTAGAGACCAGACCTGCACAGGCTGCAGGTAGACTTAACTAATATACAGTATATCCAGCTTGCTAATTATCTAGGTATGTCACTGGTTTGCTGTAGTCAGATCAATGCATGGTCAGTTCCGATTGGTTGCTTCAGCTTGCTGTATCTTGAACATTACTCTGTGCCTTAGGAAATAAGAAAGTTTAGGTTTAAGAATGTCAGTGGAAAGCCATCCTCTCTAGTAGAAGGCTGACTTAATGACCAACCAGGACATATACTGTATATGTGCTGGCTTTCTGTAACCATTTAAAGTCCACGTGCACATTCCCAAGAGAATACCAATACACACATGTGAGGAAGGATGAGGTGAAGTATACCCTTAAATATGCATGGTGAACTTCCTGTAACTCACCTGCTTCTAACATCAGTGGCCACAGTAAAGATGCTGAGAGCCAAACACATTGACCTCCATGTTGAAGTGTTCACTTGTTCACCCCCAACTTAATATTTGCGTAGCCAAAAACTATTAGAAGTGCCAAATGTTTCTTGCAATGTACAGCAGCAATTCTGTCACTCTATTCCAACCTCAGGGTAAACATTAGGCCTGATTCTGGCTGTTAACTGGCTGCTGCTGGCCATCTATCAGATGCCTGGAAAACTTTCTGGATGTTAGTTTGTAAATCTAGTATTGCTCTGTTCTGATTCTGCAGTATCACACAGTCATCCTATATACTGGTCATTTTTTTTTTGTCTAGTCAGACCACCAAAAAACTTTTACTAGCCTACATATATTATCAGTGCCCTTTGTGCAGCCTTATGCCTTAAAACAGTCTGTAGCATTTTACAGGCAGATGTATAGTCAGTTAAGTTATTCTTTTACATACACAACAAAAAGAGATTTACTTGTTATAGATAATCATATCAGTATATGTTTATATATTTTCAAGAACCTTGTAAAGAATCATGTGTCCTTTCTCATTATATATGTGTATGGGTCATTCATATTTGTTCATTAGATAAACAAGTTTTGTTTCCTGCTCTGTAGTGCTACACAATGGTTGTACTCACATTGCAAATTTATGACCTTGTACAAACAGGATTCAGCTTGTAAAAGTTCAGCAATAGCCTTGTAAATGTTTGCTGTACACAATGCTTCTTAGAGCATTGAATGTTTAGCCCGCAAGTACTCTCCATGTGACTAATATGTTGCCTCAATACCTATTAAGTAGTCAGGCTCACACATTGCATTAGTTAACCTACCCTGTAGTTAATCTACGAATCTCTACAATTCTTACAGTTAATACAACATCAAACATAAAAATGTACTTAAATTAGCAAAATATGTACTGATTAAATATGCACTATACTTACCCTGTAGCAGAAAGTTCCTTTAGCAGAGTCAGGTTTTCTGAGCTAAACTGGGATTCA